TGCACTAAGGTTACCTTTGTGACTTACGATCACCTTAGTGCTTTGTGAAAGGAGGCCTTGGTACCCAATTGTTTCCCTGTTACCACTGAATGATGATCAGGTGGGACCCCTCACTGAAGGAAATACGTGAACTAGGCAACAACTCTAATCTCCTACAGTTGGCAACTTGTGTTTGTATGCCTGTACCAGTTTAATGTCATTGACCTTGTTCTGTTGTATTGTTTTTTTCAAGTGAGCCGCTTCCACTTCCATCACAAACATTTACTGTAGTTATATTTTTAGCAAGTTTCATGAAAGTGGTTTATCTTAAAATACATTTCCTGCCAATCAATGACAAGCCATCTTGTAGGTTAAAAATGTTACTGAGATGTCAACAGGCTCTTTTTGATAATAAATGATCGTGGAATTGATTTTAAAAATCTAAACATCGATCAAATCCTGAAGTTTGAATAACCTTTTTAGATGCATAAATATAGAATCTTCTGAGTGTCTAATCAAAGGAATGATGCGTTAACACTAAATTTTTATGTCCTTATTTTCAATAATGACCATATATGAAAACTGACACACATGTTGATCACTGCTCACGAAACTTCAGACATATTTTGTTATTCTTTGGTTAAGTTAGCTTGCTGTCATTTCGGAAGAGTAGAAAAATATTTTATCATGTGATGATTTCTTTTACAAAACCAAAACAGAATTTACTGCGCAAACAAAGCAATATATAAAAAAATATTTGTTCAGTTGCATACATTTTAATCTTGTCAGATTGGGAAATTTTGAACCGATAGTTGAAGGAAAATATCGCGGTCTCGGTGTATTCATGCAGGAGAATGTTGGGTGATAGGGAATCTGGACTTGCTGGGGCAACAACTGCTGGGGCTGTATACTTCACACAAAATAAAACAATGTTTGGCGATCAAATAAAATTATTTTGGCGACATGGTGTAACATTGAAATACAAGCTACCAACGTTACATGAGCCATTTTCAAACAAAAATATTCTGAATAATCAAAGAAATCACTCCAACAAACCCAAGCTGTTGACTGGAGCCATTAAATGCTGATATACAGATGCTAATGCAAACTGAAAACAAGCTCATTATTTCCTGAACAACCAGACCAATTTATGCTGTGGTTTGACATATTTTTATGAAAAAATTCCATGAGACAGTAGCGACTCAACCAATCCCCTTGTATGTTCTCCAAGTTAATCCGAGGATGATTTAAAGTCATACGATTGCTTGTTTTTGAAGAAAAAGTAAAATAAGATATTATAAAAATACCAAATTAATACAGATAATTTTATGCCGAATACATGGAGTTAGCTTGTCTGTTTAACAGGAAACAAATTAGTCTGACTGTACAGATTTTCAAATACATGGGTTATTAATTATCCAAGTCAAGTTTTAGGTAAATTTACAGACCTCAGAAATCAAGGTATTTGTTTTCACATTTTCGCCATACAAATAACTTCCTACAGAAAAACAAGAAAAACCAAAATACAAATGTGTCAGAAACGTGAAAATGGTGACAGAAGAAGCAATATTTAGTTCAGAACAAGATCTATGGTTTAAAAACAAAACAGTTTGCGAAAAACACTTTGACCTCAAGAAAAGCAAAATTGTGTGATATGTATCTTGTGTTTGTCACTATCAATAGCATGACGTAAACGACAACTGTTTGCAGATAATATTGTGGATACAAGACATATTTAATAATTGTTTCACATGTATGCGAACAGTTCAAATGAACTATTGATTTGCAGCTACATAGGCGGATCCAGATGGGGGGTGCAGGGGTGCGCACCCCCCCTTTTGTCCTGAAAGTTTATTAAATGACCATTGAAACTCGGGTGAAAATGAAGTGTGCACCCTCCCTTTTCTCAATAGTGTGCAACCCCCATTTCTCAAAAAGCTGTATCCGCCCCTGAGCTATCAGGCTTAATTCTACATGAAGTGATTGGTCAAAACCTCTTTCATATTTCTCCAATAAGGATACTGCTATAGTCGTATAGCAGTGTGTGACAACACTCAGTGAATGCTACACACAAGACATGGATCATCCTCGCCAGTCAGGGGAGTGGGTTTGGCCATAGTCCGCTACAAGCCCTCAACACCAGAACCATTTTCTAATGACCACCAAAACAATAACATGAGTGGGGTTTTAGTGTTTTGTAAGTCTTAGCACCAGATTAGACAAGTACATTTTGAACTCAAATTTCCTTCTTGACAAAAATATGGACCCTATGAACAGAGGTAGGCTTTCGGGTCATTTAATATGGAGTAATAACTAAAGGAATCTTTCCCATTACGCCTGAAAATAGGTATTGGAGTATCTTTTTGATTCATTAATTTACATGTCTCTACTTCAGGTGATCATAAGAAAATAAGGGTGCCGTTATACAAGGTCATTTTAACCTCAAGGTGATCATAACACCCATTCCTTAACCAGACTTTGTACAATGGCATTCTGTTCCATGTAGGAACTGTAGCAGATATGGCTGAATAGCCATGATGGTGAAGAAAATCTATGAATTCACACTGAGATGAACATATACATTTCCTGAAAAATGTTAACATTGTTGTACATGTCCTCAAACTTGATTACACTGTTGTACATTTTCTCAACAACGTATTCATAGTTGTACATGTCCCAAACAATGCATACATTCTTGTACAGGCCTGAAAATATGTATACAGAATTGTACAAATTTTACACACTGTATACACAGAACTAAACACCCTGAACAATGTATACAGAGTTGTACATGTCCTGAATAGTGTATACACAGTGGTAAATATCCTGAAGGATGTATACTGAATTGTAAAGTTTCCTGCATACAAAGTTTCACAATTTCAGTGTATACAGCAGAGTGTTATTGGGTGCATAAAGACAATCGACACATCTGAGGACATACAGGTCGTCAGCAACTACTGTACATCTACACCATACTCGCGGTATGTACAAAGCCAGGTAGTAGAGAGGCAGCTTCATATGCCCAGGCTTCAACACCAGGTGTCGGGGATGCCATTTGCATATACTGAGGTTCCAGTTTGAATTGATATGCACATATATATGACGAGGTGACTGGCCACAGGAAGCTATAGCTGTTTTTGAATATATCTAAATGAGGTTATTTCACAGTGAAAGCGCATGAAATTTGTGTTAAGCGGTTAGTAATGGTATGTACAAAACTGCAAAAGAATCCTTCACTGGAACAGTCTACATAAGCAGCTTTAGATACACTGGGAACATACAACAGTGTTGTAGGAGGTATAGTCATGAATAAGTCTGGCTTCAACAGTGTTGCAGAGCTGAAGAAGGCCACAAGGGACAGACAGGATTGTTGCAGTTTGTATATACTTATAACATGTACAAAACCAGATTGAACACAATTTTGTTTCAGGTTTCTATATATAAACTCATGAATCAGGCAATGACTGATGTCTAACACTCTTGCAATTCATGAACATTGTTGTATAACAACATTGTTGCAGGCCATGAACACTGTCACATGAAAAAACATTGTTGCAAATCATGTGTACCAACATTGTTACAGGCTATGAATACTTTCATGTGTAACAACATTGTTCCAGTCCAAGAGCACTGTCACATGTAACAACATTGTTCCAGGCCAAGAACACTGTCATGTGTAACAGTGAGTGAGTGTCTTGGGTTTTATGCTGCTTTAAGCAATATTCCAGCAATATCATGATGGGGGACAATAGAAATGGGCTTCACACATTGTACCCACGTGGGGAATCGAACCTGGGTCTTCGGCGTGACGAGGGAACACTTTAACCACTAGGCTACCCCACCGCCCCTCATGTGTAACAACATTGTTCAAGGCCAAGAACACTTTCATGTGTAACAACATTGTTGCAATTAATGAACGCAGACATGTGTAACAAAACTGCCGCAGTCGCGGGCATCATGTGTAACAACATTGTAGTTCATGAACACTGTAACATGTAACATTGTTTCAAGTTACGAACAGTCACATAACATGCAACATTGCTGCAAACCATGAAAACAGTCATGAACATTTTTGCAGACTACCAGACACTTCACAACAACATAGTTTCAGGTCATACATAAAAAATGAGGTCATATACCATTGTCACGAGGTCAGAATCAGTGTCATTAGAACATTAGTTATGCAGTTTGATTCAAGTTCATTTTGGAAACTAAAATCAGTGATACATTGAAGCGGGGACTGCTGTTGGTATGGTTACCAGTGAGACTGAACACACAATAGGTTTCATTTATTGCTGAGTTGAAGTATATGTTTACAGTGATGACATGATGGATATCAGCATGACGTAATTACACCAAGAAAAAAAACATACCTCAAATTAAGATTAGAGCAACCATCCTTTGGGTCAGACCTTGGCCGTTCAGTGCTTTAACAGGTGAGGGAAACCCTGAGGCTGATAATACATTTCAAAGTTATTTTTAAATGAGACAATTTTATTTTGACTTCCCCAAATCACTCGGGTAATACGCATAAAAGTATTTTCATTATTTTTCCAAATCCTCAAACGATCCAGGAAGATGCAAGGGCTGGACCCCTCAGTTAAGAATCTACTTTAGTAAAGGATGTCCTTGTTCAGTGCACAGACTGCTATAAGATAACAAGTTGTGAAGATGCTGATGATGCTGATGCATGCAGTCTCAGTAACACATGTGGGTATGACAAGCGGCTGTTGTAAGCTGTGCGGACATAGAAGTAAGCTGATCCCAACAAGAACAACACTGAATCCTGAACCTTCCATTCAGTACACTTCCAAGTACCAGGTCAATGTGATACATAGTATTATATGTTCAGCTGTGAGTACCTCTATCATACGTGCGTTCCTCTTTTAAATTCTTTTCACAAATTAACCAAGTAATGATATGATACTGAAGCGACTGCTGTCAACAAAAATACTCTTCCACAACAGAAGTGCTGAGTACGACAATTTCACAATATCAGAACCCCCAAAATATTAAAAATCTTTAAAAATACTTCAGTCGGAATATCCATCAGCAGCCACAATGAAGCATTATAACTGATGACTATTCCAAGAATAACATGAGTGTTGTCTAATAGCACTGAGGCAGAGTCCTCTTACTGAAGTTAATGATGACGAACCTGATGCTCTCCAGAGAACTGGAGCGGCACTTGAATCACTATGTTTAGTAACCTAATACAGAATTATGTCTGAGTATTGTACAATGGTAAGTTTTTGTTCTATCAACATCTGCCCAACTTCAATCAGAGGATGCGGGGACACAAAGGGGTGCTCACAGTTGTTGCACAGCATGGACACAACACTGAATCACATAGTGTACATTAAAAGCCATTTTACAGTCATATAGTTGCTGCCCCAGTTCCCCTGAGGAGTTAAAGCCAAAATTCCCGACTTAGAAATCATTACAAATTGAAGGCACAATTTATTCAAGTGCAAGTTATGGCCCTACCACAAGGAGAGCTTGGTCATAAAAACTGCACTTTCTTTGTAGTCATCTACAACAGCCCCATCCAAGTCCAACATCCAACCCTTCTAGCCTTCATAGCAAGGGAACATGTCCTGAACATTACCTTGCCCAGTCCAAAACATGGATAGCATTAGTGAGTTTCTTGCTCTTGATAGATTCATGACACTTAAATAGCAGACTGTGTGGTTTAAGAGACATGCTACCCTTATAATTTACAAAAGAATGAAGCCATCTTTTATTTTTGATTCCAATTTCTTGTTACCATTGCTATTAGAAGTTCTGCATACCCAAAGAATGAAAAACATTAATGTATAAATAGTTTTAAGAATATGGCCATATTTGTTACAGCTGCCAGTTTCAGTCTCAAACCTATAGATCATGAAGATCACAATCCTGCAGCATAAGCTTTCCTGAAAGACGTTTCCTCAACATTGACCATCTTCCTCTCCTGTGGAAACCTCTGAGAGGAAGCTGCCTTTTTACAGTGAGTCAACTATAGTCTCGACCACTCAGCTCACTATTTATCAATTAGGCCAGTCCAATTTTATTTATTGTTTTACGGATCCACCGGTTGTATTTTTTCAAGAATAAGAAAAAAGAAAAGAAAATTAACTGTCCTCGCTGAATTTTTTTTTAAAAATTCTAATGTTTTTATAGGCCAAAAATGTAAATTTACAGGAAGAATTTTTAGATTGTAATTTGCTCCATATACACTTCATAAATTGCCAAAAGTAAAATACTGTTAGTATTTAAAAGGAATATTACTTTGATTGGTGATCACCCCCCCAGGTTTTCTGAGGACAAAAATCTGTAAAACAAGAAATAAAATTGGTCTGGCCTTACCATCATTTAATGTTACTTTCACACAAAGAGTTTCCAGGAAGCAGACAAATAACGGTGCCATTAAGTCTCAAAGGTCAGAACACTTCAGGTTTAAGTGCAGTTGTTCAACTTGCCTCCTGAGACAGGTTCTTGTCAATATTTCAACTGACAGAATATTCTTGAACAACTCAAACGATGGATGATTCCTGGTGTATGTCAGTCTGAATAACCTTCTTACACAAGGTCAAAATGGAAGTCGCAAGATGGCGAGACTCAAGGTAGGTTTCTGTTGGTGCAAGTTTTATTCTATCATACTTCTCATCTGTAAATACCAAACTGACATGTATTCTTTGTCTGAAGTTAGAACAATGGCTGAATACTCGTGTTAAGAGAAACTCTTTGCAAGAAATAACGAAAAGCATATCCTAAAGAGGGCAGCTGTATCTGGTCATTTATCAAGCAATTTATTTAATACATTAAAGTTTGATAAACAATGAGTGAATTCAATATTTTTACTTTGCAAAATTCTTTTACAGATCAATAATTATTTTTACCGTTGATTATACTTGCCCTGAAAAACAATTAGATTTTCCCCTTTTCAATAAATCTATCACAAGCCACTGCCACAGCGTAACTTTCTTCTGATGAAAGAGTAAGAAGACATGGATATGTACAGATATGTATGTTGACGTAAACTCAGGTTGGTAAACTGGCAGTGTAAGTCATCTTGTTTTCAGGGGCAACAGTTGCAGTAAATGACAATTCAATTCTCCATCTTCCAAGAAGAGAAACTTGACAGATGAGATCTGATGAGGTCTAACCTGACACAGCAAGGTATTACCAGGTATAGCTCACTCAAATTTGAAGCTCAATTTTTACAATGGTAATGATGCTTTTTTCAACAAGAAATCATAATTTGAAGTTTTCACTAAATTTTCAGTGTACTAAAACTCGAATAAATGTACAGCTTCTATCTAAAACTTGTTTGCAGTGTAAACCCTCCTAGAAATCAACAGCTCCATACTGGTCACAGGCAATGGGTTGTTTAAGAGGTCAGTCTTAAAAATTTGAAGAGAAAAATAACTATATTAACTGAAAAATCCCATCTTGATTGATAATATTGTTTCTCCTCTTAAACAACCCTTGCGATTGCCATAAAAATGTCTTCCAAAAGTAACATGAAGCATTAAAGCTGATTAAAATGCAATCTCCATTCATAAATATATATGTGTGTGTGTATATATATATATATTTCCACAAAACAAAACAACAAAAGAAAACAATTGAAACCAGGTGACAGGCAGGAGAAATGAAATGAATTGTTTACAAGGTCATCAGAAACTAAGCTGCCTTTTATAAAGTTCATCAATCTTGAAACAAATGGACGATGTTGAATACATAATGCTTATTGACAAATCCACACACAAGTCCATTGTCCCATAAGCTAGTACATGTGTCTTTCCATTGCCCAGCTTCAGGTCTTTGAATCATGGAGTCACATGACAGTCACATGACAGTCACATGACATACCTGACTCCATGTTGTCCATGATAATCCAGTGCGACACACGTAATTTGTCTTCCACAATCTGTCAACACCTTCATTTTTCAAAATCAGAATGTCAACAATAAAATTTCACTTCATATAAGCATAATTAAAAGAAATCAATCTTTCAACGTCACCTCCTGTACTGGCACACCATGCACCTAAATCCACTTTGATGAAAGATTATTTCACATTTACTCCCACTAAATGTCTTTATCGCTGAGCGGGATGTAATATTTGAATGATGCGTCACAGTTAAAATCAAATTTCACGACATCCAACGATCCTTGTCTTTGTGTGTTGACACACATGAAGTGTCAGTTTACACGTTCACTCGGAAACACTTGTGGCTAAATACTTACATGTTACATACACATTTATTGACGTCAATATTGTTTGTCGTCTCAGTTTCACTATATACATCTCACTGTACACAACTATACAATACTCTGCCGGGTGCTCTCTGTCAGATGGCCGTCAACTCACATCACAATTCTCTTTGACGCCCACGTCCTGTCACATCCCCTTGTCTCTGTCAGTGAACCACACATCGTCTAATAACAAGGTCATGTGGCTACATCTAGCATGCCCACATCCACATCACCACACCTGTGAAGTACCTCCGATGTTCTGATGTAGACAACAAGGTCATCCATGCCGCTTCTGTCTTCTCCACCTTATTGTAAGTATTGCCCTTCAATGTAGCGGTATTGACATGTGAAAGGAACACTGCTGAAGTTCACACTGAGAAGTGAACACACTTGGAGCTAGCTAGCTATTTCACAGAGAATATACAGATCCATTGAAGAAATGGTCATGTGGCTGATAATTCAACTTGCAAACATTCCTCAAAACATACTTGTCATCTTCCTAGGTATGGCGCGAGGAACATATTTACAAAGTATAAAGTTATATTCTTAAATTGTATATATTCACTTGAAATTGCAGACCCATATTGCCCCATCAACATCTTTTCTGATCAGGACTTTTCACCACTGCCTTCATCAGACTCTGAAGTTAACACCAGCAACACCTTGGTCTCCTCCAACCACTGTTTGATCCCCTCATCACTTTACAGGGGACTGATCAAGGCGTTTGTCATTGGTATGGAGCAGTTTTCTTTGATAAGGGGAACCCTTACTGATGATTTCTTTCTGTTTGAGATGAGCTCCTGTGAACTCCCTTTCCCAGATAGGTGACATGATTGATCTAGGACAGAAGTAATGAATCTGAGCTGAAGTACTGACACGGTTGGTGCATGGTTCAGTACACAAGAGTCACTATTTTGATAATCCTCCTTTCTGAAACTACCAATGAGAGACATTGACCTGTCCCAAATCATCACTGTGAAATTCTTTACTAAGTGAAGACTTCTGTCTGTAGCTGCTCACTCTCATTCTAAAATATCTGTTGCATGTTTTTCACAGAAATCATCTTAATATCAGTAACAAGAACAATGAACATGGCTGACATGACTTGATTATGCATATGAGGGACCACATTGACAGGCAGACATCTTTACTTGATGAAGACAATCTACAAGACAAGGATCTTCCTTCCACCAGACTGTTCCCCGAGTGACTCCTCCATTCCATATCAGTTCTGATGTCAGATGAACCATCTCACAGAAAACATCCTCCAAAGTAAATAAACCTCAACAGCAATTATGTTTCGATATATGACAACATTCACCAGGAAGCCAGGATGACGGTGACTGGGACCTGCTAGCAAGCATGCCAGATGCACTCACAGGACTTGGCTTAGAGTGTCACGGCCTCCGTGAACCACTATGGGTCCGTCTGGGCAACGTATGTCTCCATCATCAAGGATGGGAACTGTGTTCCGTCCATCTCCATATCGAGCAGCAAGTTGGAGTGCTCCACACTGATTGTTCGGAGATCTGACATGCGGGTCAGAAATTTGGCAAGTGCACTCCCACCACGAAGTCTTTTGGCGTTTTCATACGACTGTAGAGTTTCTACATAGTGAGATTGAATCTCTTCAACTTTCTGCTTGTCCTTCAGACCGGGCCGCTCTGCAAGACACAACAAACACATCAAGATACAAATAACCTGAAATACAGCCAACTGATTAGGCCATGTCTTAGCAATACAAGATCAAACCTCATTTTGAAGATGTTTTGATGGCATCATTTTGAAACCTACGGGAACCAATAGGATCAAGCATCATAACATGAGATTGGAACTCTTGATGTAAGGATTACGACATAGGGAAGCATGTGCAATTCAGTGATTGGCATCTCAGTGAGTGACTGGTATAATTTTATGCCGCTTTTAGCAATATTCCAGCAATATCACGGCAGGGGACACCAGAAATGGGCTTCACACATTGCACCCATGTAGGGAAACGAACCTGGGTCTTCAGCGTGACGAGCGAACGCTTTAACCATTAGACTAGCCCATGACATCACAGCATCAACAAATTAAGTGAGTCGGATCAACTGATGCTGCTAGTTGCCTCTTACGATAAAAACATAAGTTGCTGAAGACCAGTTCTAACCTAGAGTGAGTGAGTGAGTGAGTGAGTGAAAATGGTTTAATAATATTCCTGCGATATCACCAGAAATGATCTTCACACATTGTACACATGTGGGGAATCGAACCCAGGCCTACAGCGTGATGAGCAAACGCTTTAACCACTGGGCTACCCCACTGCCCCAGATATGATCAAGGTGGCCACAAAGATGCTAGGTTGTTAAAGGATACTGTAATGGCGCTGGAACTCACCTGTAGTATGTAGTATGTAGGTATGCAGTAAATCAATTATATGTCAACAAAGACAGACAATTGTTTTTGTCAGGATGGCCAATATGGACATTTTGAAATATTATGAATTAATACTGAGGACTAAAACAAACAATGAATTCAAATGATTTAAATAAAATATTATGTCATAAGCCTCTTAAATTATCACATAAAATGGAACACTTGTTGAGACACACTACTAACCAACAGACAGATTCAACAAAAATGGGTGAGGAAGACCCTTAACAAATCCAGCTTTCAAATCCAGCTAAAAATGTAAAATAATGGACACATCGATGCCCAATACTAACTTCACATGTAGCAAATTGCATTACAGTTTGAAAAGAACAGATGGAGTAATTAATGACAACAAAAAGCCTTTTTTTCAAAATGGTGCTCTTGACATTCCAAATGAGTCAGATTCAAAGTCAGATGTCATCATTGGGGGAAGACCAGCAAGATGAGTGAGGTTTCAGATGCATTTTTCCCATAATTTCTGAGGAAATGTTTACACTGATAGGAAATACATTTTGACTCAAAGAGCAAACAAAAGTCAAAATGGAGCAGGATTTGAGCAACATTACATGATACACATGTACCAAAGTTTATAGCATTTTGAACCAAATGACAAGATATGGCAATAAATAATTTGTTCATTCTGGTAAAACATGAAATTATTCAGCATTACAAAAGCTGACAATATTTACATTTTCTTATTTCTTACAGACAGACATCCTTTTGCCAGCTTATTTGCCAGCTTGTAAACTGGAAGACATGTCAAATATTGAGTTTAATCCTCCGTACCTGAGAATATCGCTATGGTAGTGATGAGAGCATACTCAGCATTGTCAGTCTTCAGCATGGCCATGTTGTCACAGAACTCGTACATCAGCTCAGCGTACCGCCCAAGCCCTGTTGCCTTCATATTGTCCAGGGTACAGGGCAAGCCATTGGCAAAGATTATGGCCTTGGAGTCTGCATCATAGCATCGGGCTGCCCTAATTGCCATACACTCACAGGATGCCGCCTGGAAAGTCAACATTATTATTATTATTATTATTATTCCTGTGTCTGAGAAGTGATTGGACCATAGATGAGATAGTTGTATGTTGTTTAACACCCCACTCAACAGTATGTCAGCGGTCTGTAAATAATCAAGTCTGGACCAGAAAATTCAGTGATCAACATCATGAACATCTATCTACGCAATTGGGATATGATGACATGTAGTCAACCAAGTCAGGGACCCTGACCACCTGGTCCCGTTTGTCGCCTCTTTACGACAAGCATGGGTTACTGAAGACCAATTCTAACCTGAAACTTCACAGGTTGGACTATAGGAGTGAGAGTGAATATATACTCATAAAAACGAATAAGGGACCACATGAAAGTACAAGTGTTCCTTTATTTATTTCAAGAATTTCACTCACAGTGCAACACATACCTTGTGAAGAAAACCTGGAAAAGAATAAAGGGACACTTGTACTTTCATGTGTTCCCTTATTTGTTTCCATGAGTATATTTGTTTATCATCCAGTAAGTAATATACCAGATATTGTGCAGCAGGGTATATACAGTAAATGAGGGCCACACAAAGCAGAGGTGACAACCTGAACCAAAATCCCCTGCATCAGGTTAACATAATAACACCAGCATATATTCATAATAAGTACGGAATGCTGGGATCCTATTCAGCCCCGAGACGACTACTCCGACCGTGTACGGGATAACCATTCATCAAGACAAGTAGTCCTGTACTAATACAGATAGTTTAAGATTTCGGTCTAAAATATGCAAAGGCTGAAACACAAGCATGTATAGCGGTTGCACTGAATCAGTTGACTATGCAGCAATCACATATACCAAACCTGGTTATTGCCAGTTGCCAGGAACTAGTGTTGGGAATCGGAAAGCAAATCCACTATTGAATATCGGAGGACTTGTGGTGAACGTTTATAATCGAAATACATACATTTTTAATGTAATCACCAATTTTAAGTGTTTTTCCCCAGGCTTTTACTAATTAATGGTTTTTTTTATGACTAAAACTGTCATGCAATGAAATGCACACATGCAAGTAAGACACTGGAATTGTAATCAAACAATAAAAGGGGTTAAAATTGTACAATGCACATAGCTTTACGCTGTTGAGCGCATGTTTATTCGTGAATATTCGTCAAATTTAATGGTTAGTTTACTTCATTCAAGTGTGTTACAGTCAGACCTCGTTAATACGAACACTTTGGTTTTTTAAAAAAAACGTTCGGATAGTGAAACGTTCGTACTGCTGAAACCACAGTATATGCACCGAGTTACTTCCCCTTGATATCTTTCCTTACTATCGAGACTCTGAGGTCATAGATGAAGCCTATGTTTATGAAGGAAATTATAATCCTACTGTTGATAAATATGAAGTTTATTTTTATAATGTTATTCAAAAACTATGGCGATTTTTTTCCATTTGTGACATGTCATAACATGCCAGTGCCTTTTAGGGCTCCTTTGCCTTTAGGCAGGAGACCTATTGTAATCGTTCGTGTTTTATTATTATTATTATTATTATTATTATTATTTATTCTTCCATACGCAGATTTTGTAACAGAGCTACAGAGAGCACCGCTGGACAGAATGCCTTGACAAAATCACCCAGATGCCCACCGAGGTGTAGATATCGGCGCTTTAAAATCTCTAGGCTGTAGGCCCAATAGCAAAGGGCAGATAATTCAAAATTAATTCAAAATTTCAATTTCAAATGCAAATATCTCCGTAACTAATGCTCCAATGTGTGCCAAAGTTCTTGAGCAGATGCTAATCAAAATGCCTACAATTTAAGCCTGGACGGCTCTAAGTCGCTAAAATGCACCGCTTTGGTCAGCTATGTTGAATTGAAGTTTTTGGTGATGTTTTTCAGCAGAATGCTGACTGCATACCTCCCAAAATGTGCTGCACTAAAACTACAAAGGGCTCACGGGTTTCAAACGCTGCATACTTTGTGTCTATGCATGTTTCTACACAGTAGCATCGCTCAAATGTGCCTATGTTTATATGATGGCGCCATATTGACGCTACTTTTGGGCAAAAGTTGTCTTCAAAAAACTTTCACGGGCTACTTTGCTATTTTGTGCCAAACGAAACTTACCACATATACAACACTTTAAACGCTTTGTTCTGAAGTTGCCTTTGGTTGTTGAACATTTTCTGTTCTTGGTCCTATGTCAAAAGTCACATGATCGCGGCGCCATATTGGATTGAAGATGTTTATCGAAATGTGCAGATTTTGTTGGGTAGGCATTTTCGCTAATCCATAACTCTGAATGTATGAACTGCAGAACGCTGTAAATGTGCAGATATACAATATATACCTCAAATATTAATGCCCATAAGCTATGTTGCGATATCTTTATTAGTTACGGATATCTAGATGTTTGCTTCTGTTGTTTACTTTGTACTAAAATGTATTTTCAAAAATCGAAAGGCGTCATAACTATTTCAACTATGCAGCTAGAATCTGGCCGTATCGTAGTAACTAAGTGTGTTGAACATTTTTGTTCTTGGGTGAATGTCAAAATGTGTATTGCTTGGCGGCCATATTGGATTTCATCCGATTCTGATGATACTACATTATAAACAGCATAGTTGCTCAAGTTCTGCACAGAAGGCAGTAAAACTTGGCAGTATGCATCAACATAAGATGCTTAACATTTCGTTTTCTTACATGCATATCAAAAGTTTGATCGCTTGTCGGCCATATGGCATTAAAATTGCACAAATGCATTATGTGTCCACAACGGCACAAAACAGCATATAACTCCACCACTATTGCCCCAATCGCTTCCATATTTGGTATGTGACTTGGTCATGAGATTCGATCATTTTGTCTGGTTGTCCCAGAGCGATATCTCTAGCCGTTTGGCCGCCATCTTGGATTGAAGTTTTTCATTTATCAGGTTGCCATAGCAACAACAGTTTAAATTCAAATGACTTGATTTTTACAGCATCGTTAGGCACAGTCAAGGGAATGCTGTGTGCAAAATCTCAACTCTGTGCATTTCATAGTTCCGGAGATATTAACTATACAGTATTTTGACGGACAGACATGCGGACAGTAGGCGGACATACTTGTCACTAAATCTGACCAGCGCATATGATACATCGGGTCTGGGCAAAGCAGAAACACTAATTCCTTTCACCCTACAGGTAATAACAACGGCGTCTTAGCTCGCCAAAAACGTGTTTTGTTTTGTGATGGACCAGTCAAATGACCTTGACCCCGTGACCTTGGTGACCTTGACCATTAGAAAGCATTTTCGACATTCTATCAAGTTCGGGGTCAAAACCGAAAAACTCAAAAATAACGATTTTTAATTAGGGCTCCTTTGCCTTTAGGCAGGAGACCTATTGTAATCGTTCGTGTTTTATTATTATTATTATTAGGGCTCCTTGCCATTAGGCAGGAGACCTATTGTAATCGTTCGATGTTTTTATTATTATTATTATTATTATTATTATTATTTATTCTTCCGCCCAGATTTTGTACCAGAGCTACAGAGAGCACCGCTGGACAGAATGCCTTGACAAAAATCACCCAGATGCCCACCGAGGGATAGATATCGCGCTTTAAAATCTCTAGGCTGTAGGCCCAATAGCAAAGGGCAGATAATTCAAAATTAATTCAAAATTTCAATTTCAAATGCAAATATCTCCAAAACTAATGCTCCAATGTGTGCCAAAGTTCTTGAGCAGACGCGCCAATCAAAATGCCTACAATTTAGCCTGGACGGCTCAAAGTCGCTAAAATGCACCGCTTGGCCGCCATTTTGGATTGAAGTTTTGGGTGATGTTTTTCAGCAAAATGCTGACGACTTTCCTCCCAAAATGTGCTGCACTGAAACTTCAAGAGCTACGGCTTTCAAACTTTGCATACTTTGTGTCTATGCACCTTACTACACAGTAGCATCGTCAAATGTGGCTATGTGTATTTGATGGCCGCCATGTTTGACGCTACTTCTGGGCAAAAGTTGTCTTCAAAAACTTTCACGGGCTTCTTTGCCATTTTTGTGCCAAACCAAACTTAGCACATACAACACTTTAAACGCTTTGTTCTGAAGTGGCCTTTGGTTGTGGAACATTTTCTGTTCTTGGTCCTATGTCAAAGTCACGTGATCGCGGCGGCCATATTGGATTGAAGATGTTTATCGGAAATGTGCAGATTTTGTAGGGTAGGCATTTTTCGCAATCCATAACTCTGAATGTATGAACTGCAGGACGCTGTAAATGAGCAGATGTACAATATATACCTCAAATATTATTGCCCATAAGCTATGTTTGCGATATCGTGATTAGTTACGGATATCTAGATGTTTATTTCTGTTGTTTATTTTGTACTAAAATGTATTTTCAAAAATGGCAGCGTCATTACTATTTCAACTATGCAGCTAGAATCTGGCAGTAATGCAAGTAACTTGGTATGTTGAACATTTTTTGTTCTTGGGTTCATGTCAAAATGTGTATTGCTTAGGCGGCCATATTGGATTACGTCAGATTCTGATGATACTACCTTATAAACAGCATAGCTGGTCAGGTTCTGCACAGAAGGCATTCAAACTTGGCAGTATGCATCAACATAGGATGCTTAACATTTTAATGTTCTTACATGTATTTCAAAAGTGTGATCGTTTGGCAGCCATATGGCATTGAAAATTGCACAAATGCATTATGTGTCCAAAACGGCATAAAAGCAGCATATAACTCCACCACTATTGCTCCAATCGCTATCATATTTGGTATGTGACTTGGTCATGAGATGCCGATCATTTTGTTTGGTTGTCCCAGATCGATATCTCTAGCCGTTTGGCCACCATCTTGGATTAAAGTTTTTCATTTTCAGGTTGCCATAACAACAACAGTTGAAATTTAAATGACTTGGCTTTTACAGCATCGTTAGGCACAGTCAGTGGAATGCTGTGTGCAAAATCTCAACTCTGTACATTTCATAGTTCCGAGATACTAACTATACAGTATTTTGGC